GACGGCCCCTTAGGCCGCCTCGACAACCAGTTGCATTCAACTGATCGCTTCACCGCGTCCACTGCAACCAGTTGCCCAGTTGTTCACCTACCCGTGTGTGTGTTAACTTACCTGCGTGTGTGTTCACCTGTGTTCACTTACCTGCGTGTGTATTCACTTACCCTGTGTGTGTGTTCACTTACCTGCGTGTGTGTTCACCTGTGTTCACTTACCTGTGTGTGTGTCCACTTACCTGTGTGTGTGTTCACCTGTGTTCACTTACCTGTGTGTGTGTCCACTTACCTGTGTGTGTGTGTCCACTTACCTGTGTGTGTGTTCACCTGTGTTCACTTACCTGTGTGTGTGTTCACTTACCCGTGGGTGTGTCACTTACCTGTGTGTGTGTTCACCTGTATTCACTTACCTCTGTGTGTGTTCACTTACCTGTGTGTGTCCACTTACCTGTGGTGTGTCCACTTACCTGTGTGTGTTCACTTACCTGTTTGTGTTCACTTAACCTGTGTGTTCACTTACCTATTCCCAGCAAGGGTTGACTTGAGCGACTAAGCGACGTCTTCATCGGTCGAAGGCGTCTCTCCCCCCGTGGGTTGAGTCGACCTCCAGGCAGCCGACAAGCCCAGCCACAAACCTTTTCCTCACCTCCTACGAAACCACAGTCTCGATTGTGAACTCATCTCTTTAGCGCTGACATTTCGATTTAAAGCTTTCGTGACTGCAGGGATTCATCTTCTTGGTTCTTTCGGTAAAGTCACGTAGAAGGGAAGTAATAAAATAATAAAAATAAAACATAATAAAATAATTCTCACGACGTTTCGGCCACAACGCAAGCAGCCGTCCTCAGGTGAAGAATGAAACACCACCAAGCTTGGAGCGTATATTTAAGCTGGGTTGGAGGGGTAAGAGCGCCTTGACGCTCCGACAGACCAGTTCTTCACCTGAGCGCCTTGACAAAATATTTGCATATCAAGAGGAATTTAGCATATGGAAAATGCGTAGGAGGTGGGGGGGGGGGGTTCAAATTAATATTATGCCCGTGCATTATGCAGGATTAGCAGCATCTTTGTGTGTTGCGTTTGTTGTCCTTCCCAGCACCTCCGACGAGCATGGTTGGCTACGTACGGTGCGAAAGGAAGTTTGGCAGAAATGCATACATCATTAGCGCCGCGATCCCCGCTTGCCAACTTCCCCTGCCCATTCATCACACGCGCTTGTGATTAAGCACTAATTGTCGCTTTCATCATCGTTATTGTATGCATCACCATCACGATTCGTCATGTGCTGCCATCCTTCTCATCAACTCATATCATCTCGTCACAACAAACATCGTTCATTCCGTGTCCAGCGGCTTGCTAAAGGCATCAGTGCTTACAGCGTCAGCGCAAAATCAGCCGAGGCGGTGGTGGTGTGGGTGGTGGTGGGTGGTGGTGTGTGTGGTGGTGGTGTGGGTGGTGGTGGTGTGGATGGTGGTGGTGGTGGTGGTGTGGCGTGGTGGTGTGGGTGGTGGTGTGGTGGTGGTGTGTGAGTGTGGTGTGGGTGTGGTGTGGGTGTTGGGGTGGGGTGGGTGGTGGTGTGGGTGGGTGGTGTGGGTGGTGTTGTGTGTGGTGGTGTGGGGTGGTGGTGTAGGTGTGGTGTGGGTGGTGGTGTGGGTGGTGGGGTGGTGTGGTGGTTGGGTGGGGGTAGTGGTGGTGTGGTGTGATGGTGGTGGATGGTGTTGAGGTGTGGTATATGGGTGGTGGTGGTGTGGGGGTGTGGGAGTGAGGTGGTGGTGTGGGTGTGTTGTGGTGGTGGGGTGAGGTGGGAGGTGTGGGGGGTGGTGTGGGGTGTGGTGGTGTGGTAAGGTGGTGTGGGGGGCGTGGGTGGTTGGGGTAGGTGGCTGGGTGGAATGGTGGGGTTGGGGGTGGTGGTGGTGTGGGGTGGTGGTGGTGTGGGTGGTGGGTGTTGGGGTGTGTGGTGGTGGTGGTGGTGGTGGTGGTGGTGGTGTGGGTGGTGTGGTGGGGTGGGGTGTGTGGTGTGGGGTGGTGGGTGGGGTGTGGTGGTGTGGGTGGGGTGTGGGTGTGGTGGTGTGGGTGGTGGTGGTGTGGGTGGTGGGGTGGGTGGTGGTGGTGTGGGTGGTGGTGGTTGGGGTGGGGTGTGGGTGGTGGTGGTGTGGGTGTTGTGTGGGTGGTTGGTGGTTGTGGGTGGTGTGGTGTGGGTGTGGTGGTGTGGGTGTGGTGGTTGTGGGTGGTGGTGGTGTGGTGTGGGTGGTGGGGGTGGCTGTGGTGGTGGTGGTGTGGTGGTGGTGGTGTGGTGGTGGTGGTGGGTGGTGGTGGTGATGCCGTGTGGGGGTGGTGGTGGCGTGGGTGGTGGGGTGGTGGTGGTGATGGTGTGGGTGGTGGTGGTGTGGGTGGTGGTGGTGGGGGTGGTGGGGGTGTGGGTGGTGGTGGGTGTGGGTGGTGGTGGTGTGGGTGGTGTTGTGGGTGGTGGGTGTGTGGGTGGTGGGGTGTGGGTGGTGTGTGTGGTGGTGGGTGGTGTGGTGTGGTGGTGGTGGTGTGAGAGGTGGTGTGGTGTGGTGGTGGTGGTGGTGGGTGGTGGTGGTGGTGTGAGTGGTGGTGTGGTGGTGGTGGGGTGGTGGGTGGGTGTGGTGGTGTTGGTGGTGGTGTGGGTGGTGGTGGTGTGGGTGGTGGTGTAGGTGGTGGTGGTGGTGTGGGTGGTGGTGTGGGTGGTTGGGGGGTGGTGGTGTTGGTTGTGGTGTAGGTGGTGGTGTGGGTGGTGGTGGGGTGGGTGGTGTGTGGTGTGGTGTGGTGTGGGTGTGGTGTAGGTGGTGGTGGTGTGGGTGGTGGTGGTGGGGTGGTGGTGTGGGTGGTGGTGTGGGTGGTGGTGTGTGGGTGGTGGTGGTGTGGGTGGTGGTGTGGATGATTGTGGTGGTGTGGGTGGTGGTGTGGGTGGTGGGTGGGTGATTGTGGTGGTGTGGGTGGTGGTGTGGGTGGTGGTCTGGGTGGTGGTGGTGTGGGTGTGGTGTAGGTGGTGGTGTGTGTGGTGGTGGTGTGGGTGGTGGTGTGGGTGGTGGTGTGGGTGGTGGTGTGGGTGTGGTCTGTGGTGGTCTAGGTAGCGGTGGTGCAACGGCGAGGGCGTTACGAACCCGGTGACCCGAGTTCGATTCCCGCTCTCGGCCAACACCAGTGATGATTATCTGAACCGGTCCTGGGACACCCCTAGGTCGACTCAGCCTCAAATGCGTACCTGGTGTGGTGTGTAAACATCATCGCCACTAGGGAGACAAAGGCGGATGGGTGTGGTGGTGGCCACTCACACCCCTCGTGTACCGTGCCGGCCTTCATAGGTGCTCGCTAACAGCACTTGCCCCAACAGTCTGTTGAAACTATACGGGAGATCTTTGTCTTGGGTAGCGCTGACCACGCTGCGGTGGTTGCCTGTGATCCACACCTCCGATGACCACGGTGGTTGGCTACGTACGGTGCGAAAGAAGTTCAACAACGCACAATATAACACTCACCCAGCACTGTTGTGGAGGCGGCGTTT